CTCTCCCTCTTAAAAACTCCTCAACAAAATCGAATTTTTTAAGCCTCTAAAGCAGGCTGCCCCTTAATTCATGTAGAATCGAGCGCATGGATTAATCGCTCTCCTAACCTACCTTAACATACTTTTATTCAAGTGATTACATGGTGCGCTCTTATTGTAGAATATGAAAGTTTTTGCTTACGTCAGCCGCAATCTACACGTGTTAGGAGATAATATGAGTGCAACACCAAATACAACCTCTCCCTGAAAAACACATTCACATGTACAGTACCACGCACACATGAAAAACAAATAATGGAATTGAATTGAAATGAAAGTCCGCACAAAGCGCCGAATAACGATTGCAATTAGAATGAAAAGCTGAGCTTCTTTAATGCAATTAGCGATATAAATACTACGCAATGAAATGAAACGGATTGAATAATAAAGTGGGATAAAATCATTTCATCCAACGTGGCACGGCACGATGCATTGCCAATGGCAACGCGCGGCAGACAAACGACTGCAGTTATATCAGTGTGTGTGTGTGTGTGTTGGCGTGTGTGTTGGAAGTTGAAAGGAGACATTATAGCATGCTAGTAGCAATATACTATGCGCTCATTGTTGTAGAGACTTTTGTATGATTGCGCACATGCAAAATGTTACGTATACGCCACGGTGCACAGAGTGGAGTTGGCAAATCTGAGAACAAACGAAAACGAAATGAACCAACTAAACTAACAAAATACCGCCAATGTGAGCGCTGCAGGCATTCGAATTGTTATTGCCATTGTAAATATATGTTTGTAAGTATGTGTGTGTGCGTGTGGGTCGGATGTGGCTGTTATGCGTGTTATTGGCTGTGTGCACAATGGTAAAAAGCAGCAGCGCGCATTACAATGAACGTGCCAAAAATTGTTAATTTGCTGAATTTAGCTTCGCCACACGCACACACACACATACTCATATGGAAATACAAATACATACACCAATGCAGTGGCATTTCGGCATGTGCAACACAGGCTTTACGTTCTTATCTATGGGCTTTATGAGCTGCGTTGCTTGCAACTGCTTCTGCCCATGCATTTGTGTGAGTGTGTGCGTGTGTGTGTGACAAAGTGCGGTGGCGTGAGTTAGTGAGTGCGTGCCGAAATGACAATTTCACAGATCCATAAATAGTTGCGCAATGAATGGCAGTGGCAAAGCAGCGAAATGCAACGACAACAGCAATGCAACAATGCCACCATTAACATATGGCCATGCAACATCCACGCAAACATACCCACACACACATACGAACGCATAGTTTCAGCTATTTTGTGTGCGTGTCTGTGTCATTCTAGTTGTGCGAATATGTTGAGACTCGGTTTGCCGGTTTGCCTGACGCAAATCGGATGAATATTTAAGTGAAATCAAAATGAATGAATGTGTAACTCAAAGGCAGCTCACATGATGCAGCGCTGGCTGCAGCCTTCTTCAGCTCCCGAGTCACTGGCAGTACTTGCTCTTAATCACAAGCAGCTTGAAGCCTGGAGTGCCGTTGTGGGGCATGACATTGCTCTCGCTTGCTTTGCCACTAATAACACTTGCCACAGTCTTTGAGCTGGGACGCAGAGGGCCGCAGTCTCCTTTGTCACTCTCCAGACATATGTGTGTGTGCGCGTGCTGGTTTTGTTATCTGTGCGTGCATTTGCAAGATAAATGCAATAATATTACCAGCGTTGACGGGCACGTTTGCTTGGCCTTTGTCTGTGCACTCGCAGACAAAAACACACACACACGTGCGCATACACATCCATACATATATGAGCATATACTCTGCTGCAATTTATTATTGCAATTTCACAGTAATATTACAATAGATGAGTAAATGCGTGCCAAGCAAAGCAACGCAGCGCATTAGTTGCACACACACAAATACATATAAATGTATATGCATATATATGTGGAATCTACTATGTGATATGTGTGTGTGTCCATGCGCTTGGCATAGTTTTGTCAGCTGCTTTGCATTCTAATATTTTAATGCATTTAAATTGGAATATTTTAAACTGATTTGCTTTGCCGAACGTCTCGAGCGACGAATGCGCAAACAGCGTTCTGCACAAAGGCAAAGACATTTCATTTTTGGCGTTAACATACTTGCTTACATATCCGATTTTTGTAGATTGTATTCATTTGTATTCATACATATCTGTGACACTTAAATGTTTGCGATAATGTTTAATGGCAAATTTTTGTCCCATTTATTTGTCAAATAAACATTTAAGCTACACACAGAGAATTAGCGAGGAATTTTAGTTTGTTAATTTTTTCGGTTCCTAAAATAAAACTTTGAACAAAAATCTACTTAAGATACAAGTCATAATAATTTCAGTATTCTTAATTAACTATAAAAACGGAGAAACATGGACGACATTGCTTTATTAGCGAGAGGTGAACTCAAGAGCACTCACTGCGAAATCGTGCAAATGCGATTTTTAACTGGACATCAATTCATCAAAAACAATTTACTAAGGGAAAGTCCCTGCTCGGCTTTAGAAGCTTAACTCTTGGGGGCAGGGAGTTTAAATTGCCTAATGAGGTCAAATAGCTGGGTCTCACTTTGGATTCTTCTCTCCTCGGTGGAAGCAATAAGTGAATCTGACCGTGGTCAAAGCCATAAAAATGATCACGGTGTGCAAGCCAAGGATTATCAGGTGAATGTACACCATGATGGTAAGACCGATTGTTACATATGGTGAGGTTGTAGCTTTCGAAAGTAACGCAAATTTCAGTAGGACTTGAACTTTCGAAATTATCCGACAGAAACACTAGGAGTCGCACTAGACCGCTCCACCTAGTAATCAATCAAATAGCTAAATATGCAATGCATCAAATGACAGCAGAGGTGAAACACCACTGGCCCTTCTGACGAGGGACAGCATTAGCAAAAGTCTAAATTTCACAAAGAAGAGTAAAGTTATTCTCGGCAGTAAGATTGATTAGAGTAACTGCACGTTTGACCTACTGCTGAGTTAGGTGGTAAACTGACAGCTAGAAAAAGGTTTGCTCGTTTTCTAAATGTTCATAATTCAATATTTCATAGAGGGGCTGCTCAGTAAAGAGCTGTCCATCGTCAGAAGGCCTTGTTCAAGAAAAAGTATTGCCGACAACTCACATGCATGCCCCAAGCAAGTTTTCAAGGTTCAAAAGTGTAATCAGCCTCTCGTGAGACAATCCGGCTACTTGTGGCAATTAAGATTAGGCGCTGAATGTTCATGAAGCAGCTATTAACCGATATAGCCTCTGGTGCAAACTGCCGATTTGGGACGTGAAACCTGATGCAAGACATCTAGCAGGATACTGGGATTTATCAGTGCGCTGAGTCTAAGAAATAGTTGTGACAGGGAGGAAGGTTATGAACTATTTTTTCCCACATAAATAAAGTATATATGTAGGCAAAGAAATTGAAGTAAATATCTGATGATCGTTTCGCTATAACGTATTTAGATCACTTTTGGAATTGCATAAGGAATTACTTGAAAACTTTTGTTATCTCTTTTCCAGATTTTATCATTTGGCTTGAAAGTTTGTACTTCACCTCTTTCATAGCAAGAGAATCGTCGAAAATATTTCGGGAGTCTACTTTCTTACGAAATTGAGCAGCACAAAGCACGGTAGCGAAGCCTTTTTCATGGCTTCATGCGAGTCTTTTTGGTTCATGTTTGGTGATGACGATTACATCACAAAAGTTAGAGAAATCCAATTTGAAAATCTCCGTGTTGGCATCAGAGACTGGAGGGAAATGTGTGAATCATCTCAAGGCTAGACTTCTACCAAAATATCTGAAATTTTTGAAAAAATGGCATCGAGTAGATGTTGGAATAGAGATGATTGAAGATCTATGTAGTTGACAACCCCACATTCATCAATCGCAACACTACTAGTGTCGCAACGTTATTTATGAATGTGTCTTAGAAACCATACAGCAATCTTGTTTCTTTGTCAGTCCGGGTCAAATTTGATTTATATAAATGTATTTGTGGAATTAAAGAAAATATCAGAGTTAATCATCCTTAAGAGACCTAATTAGATTACTTTTGGAAACCCTCAAAGAAATCTCAAATTTCTTTAAAAACTTTCAGCATTTCGTTTGCAGATTTTATTGTCATTCAGTTTTTATGCTTGGGCTTCAGTCTTGCTCGTACGACGAGTGCATTTTTATAGGTGCTTAAATTCTCTAGTTGATTGACACGATCTCTTGATGGTACCTAATCGATCGATTTCAACCAAATTTGGTAGGTAATAATATCGTGACATTTCTACAGTCCATTTCGCACCGATAAAAACCAAGCCTGCTTCCGTTATATAATTTTTAATTCCATCAAATTCTTGTAAGCTAAAGTCTATCATCATTTTAAATAAAGTATGGACTATTATTCGCCTTAATTTCATAAATTTTTTCAGTGTATTAAAAAATGTTATTTTCTCAATGTTAGTGCTCTGCATTTGCTAGTTATCAGCAACTGGTATTAAAATTTCTTAAAAATTTCATATATATTCCCAAACGTTTACGCATGCAGGGATTTGCATATTTAATTATGTCATTTCGCATGTATATATGTGTGCATATGTATGTGTAATTGCATTGCAAGTGTGTGGTTTCATTAGTTTAGGTTTACTTTGTCAGGCAATTGCTTTGGTAATGCTTAAATTAATGTAATTTACAAATTGCACATAAAAACAGCTTTGCACTTCAAAATAATATTTACTTGTGCACTTTAGCATAAATATAAACTTGGATATAAAGGGTGTTTTTCCGTGGCGAATTGCTTAGAGCAAAAGCTGTCCGATTTTTGACACTCATGTTTCACTACTTTTTTCGCAACTAATTCGAAACAAAATTGCTATAACCCTAAAAAACACCCTTTATACACACATAAATATATATATATATAAAGACACTTATTTACGGCTATTCAATCATGTATCTATATAGTTGTCTAATAATACGCTGAATGCAGCAATTTTCCACTTACCATTCGAAGATGTCGAGAAGAGGAAGCTGTGCGTCAAGTCGCTCCAACCATAACGATTCCTGCAAATACAAATGTAATTAAAACGAAATTTAGCCAATGCTTAGCTATTTGTGTTACGGTTGCTGGAGTCCTAAAGTATTTCAAATGCGCACCAAAAGACAAACAAACGAACAAAACGAGAATTTGCAATTAATTAGAGAATGAAAATGTCACCTCGAAAATTATTAAGCACAGATGATTATTTGTGACAAAACACATCAATTGCATGAGTGCGTCAACTCAGCATGCGGTATGCGGCATGCGGCATACGGCATACGTCAAGTGGCATGTGACCGAGAGCAAAATACCTGCACGGACCGGACGGACTAAGTATTTGCATACAATTTGTTTGAGGGTTTGCATATCATGCCTCTGTAATTAGTTTTTGATTTTATTTGAACATAGTTGGGTTAGTAAGACGCTTGCAGCACATGCAAGTATCGAGATAACGATAAATAAACAATTCATGAATTAAATATAAATTAGCATTGCCGAACAAATAAAGTGAAATTGGAAGTATTTCTGTGCCCTGAGGCCCTACATGCTTATTTAAGGTCTTAATTCAGTTATGCAATACATACATATACCTAATTATATATTATTATAAATATGGATGTACTAGATGCTTATGTATAGTATATATACACATACACATGTTTAAATGTAAATGTTTATTATAATTATTTTGTTGATGGATTAATACTCAGTAGGTCAGTTAGGTTTGAAGCCAAAATTCTGCAAATCTTGAGCTTAAATATCAATAGACGTCGTCTTGTCTCAAAGATATCGTTGTATTAAACTCTTTATGCAATAGAGTTTCATTTAATTCATAATGCAAAATATATGTGAAAAACTCCTTTATGCTAGCAAAACTATATACGAAAGTTATATAAGAGTTTATGTCATATTCGACAAAATAAACAGTCAATTTTAAAATTATTTTTCTTAAAAATCTTCTACTGAAATGAATTTAAATTTTCAAGAGGTACGAACCTGTTAACACATTGAGTGAAAGGGTGGAATGTTTGATTGAAAACATATCGAAGTGAAACTGGCAGCTTTCTACATTCCTAATAAAGCATAATACCATAAACGGTGAGCTCAGATCCATCGATCAACTACTCCACTTCTGCCCAGGTTATTAGTACGGCATGAGAGTGCGACTAGCTTTGGCATCGCCAATGATCAACTTCAGCGCAGTAAAGAAAGCAGGGAAGCTTTAAGCTCATTGGAAGCTCAAGTGAACTTAGCCATAATTTGGGTTCTGGGTCATAGGAAAATTGCCAAAGCAGACCAGTAGGCTAAGTTAGGAACCTCTCTAGACGAATCCGAGGCAGAGACAATAACGTGTTCGCTAGAATCGACCACGAGGGAGTCCACATGCAATTTGAACAAATGACGTGGTAGTTAGCTGCAACTCAAAGAGAGCAAAGATATGGTTCTTCACTGCATCTATGAGCGCCCAGCTCTAATACAAATCAGACAGCGAGTTTTTGGAAACCATCAGATACCAAACCTTGAATCTATCGCCATATTGATAGCAGCCACTTCTGTCTGCAAACCCTACAGTGGTCCGGTAGTCTAGAGTTAAAATTGATAGACAGCTCCTTACAGAAAATTCCATCTCCAAACTTCCCTCCAAGCTTCGACCCATCATTGTAAAAGCTCGGTGCGCCTCTACTCCAGTGACTCTCCCACATTTACACATCTCCTGTCGGTATGTGCACAAACAAAGATGCACCACGGAGTGGCCTCTGCGACGCTGCGATCCAAGTTTTTTGGATTGCAGTTGAAGAAGAAGAGAAGTTCGGCGTATCTTTGTGCGTTTGTTTTCTTTTTTCTTTCATATACCCAACTTCGCTGAGCGTTAGGGTGCACTTCGCAGCAAAGAACCTGCTGGCAATGTCCACCGGCGCCAGCAGATGATTGCCGGTGAAGAAGAATAGGTATAGATATAACAATGTCAAGTGAAAACGATTGTGGTGGAATCGGGGCAAGAATTGACAGTTAAAAAGGTATTACTATGTGTTTGGTTCTGCTCTTCTAAAGACACACTTTTAACTCGGGCCATGTACAGACGTGGCCAGCTTTGCTCAATATGAAAGAAATTGTGTTCAAGGCAACGGCGCGACAAATATTTCTAAATTGCCTTGGCAGAGTCTACGTGCGCTTGGTTGGGAGATCCTTGTACATTCAATTTATCCAACCCCTGCATCAAGTGATTATTAGCTGTCTCTGTCTACAGCGAATGATTTTCCTTTAAAATATTCGTCTGGAAAAAAGTTTGTGAAGCTGTCCCTAATTTTTGCCAATAGGGACGAGGGCTTTTATAGAAGTGTACTAGTATTTACGCAACACTTCCGCCTGTTGCACGGCACCTATCAGTTTCAATCAAATTCAGCGAGCAATCAAAGAAATACCCCACGGCAAGCCGAGCGAAATCTTGCACTAAATCAACACGCTGCTACAGAGATTCTACCAGAGTGCAGCGCTTAGCGTGTCATGTCGCCATTGTAATGGTTTACGCTGTTGTTGTTATGCCGCTTGCTTCAGCTACAAAAGCAATGGAACAGCAGTGTGCGGCAACGTTGCAAATTGTTAATGTGAAAACGCGAAAGCTAACAAAAGCTGCTGATCAAGAGCTTGAGCATTATAAACAATCAATTTGCAACAATAAAAGCGCTGAAGGGGAAGGAATTTCAAGCGTCACATGCAGCCAGAACTTATAGAGCAACAACAACGGCAATGAAAAAGGCAAAAGTGGTTATAATAATAGGGAAACAGCTGTAAAGTGACAACAAGTCCTTGCGCGTGTATTGAAAATCACAAAAACAAAAGCTAAACGTTGTTGTTGTCTTATACTCAAGCAATGAAGTATTGATTGCTATGTCTACTCAAGGAGTAGTGAACTTCAGCTGAAAAGCAGAACTTAGATGAGAGACAAGTAAACTGTTACACCACACCAGTGGCTATAGAGTTGAGGCACAGCAAAACACTCGCTATGCATGCAACACGCGGCAACTGTTGTAAGGATTTCACGAACAAAATACTTGGCTCGGTTTGTCCGCCTCATGACGCTAACTTTGTACTCACCTTGCTTGCACGGTGGCCTCGTAGTGCTGGTCCGGATCGAGTCCGCGTATCATATAACTCATCCCCTGGGTGTAATGATGTGACAATGGCATCGCAGCGAGCACCACATCGCGCCAATCGTTACGACCCCAGTGCATCACATTGCCGTAGCTGCTGAGACCGGCGCCCAAACCGCTGCCGAGACGATGATTGTGCTGGCTGCCAAGCAAGCCGCCACCCATGCTGCCACCTCCGACGCCGCCGCCACCGCCATACATCTGCAGCAGCGTCGAGGAGGATGACGAGCCGGTGTGCGTATCGATGGAGTTATCGACCTCGTGTCCTTGCGGCAACCTTCGGAAGGACAGCTTGTACTCTTCGATGGGTGTGTGTGAGTCCACGGTCCAAGAAATGTTGTATCTGCAAGAAAGCATTCAGAAAAACGAGACAAGATGTTAGTGGCAATCATAATAAAAGAGAAACTGTAATGCTGTGTATGCCAGCGCATACTAACGGTATTGTTATGCATACAAACTTGCAATCAAGGAATGCCGTTGATCCACTCAATGGCGTGTATATATAACATGTGAGCTGTTGTTATCGCTGTCTTTATATGCAACATAACAATCGCATTGTCGAGCTGCTGACTCAATGAGTGGGCCGAAAGCGGGCAGCGGCAGCGGAGCGCGAAGTTAATGAAGTTCCCGCTTCTATTGGCGAAACAATAATGGCCGCCACACAACAAGAACAACAACAAACACCACCACCGAGGCATTTGACTGCAGTATCACCATGTTGATGTCGAGCTGATGTCGAAAAAGTCATTCTTCGCAGCGCCGCAGACATCAAAGTCAAGCGCAAATTCCCGCTGGCAAATGGTCGCCAAGATGCTGAGCACAAGCCGGCGCATGCCGCGAGGGAGTGTGGCGGTGGCATAGACAATGTTTGCATTGTTAAGAAGCTGAAGTGCGAAAACAATGACGGTTGCAGGCGGCCACATGCCAGTGCATTGACTTTGTTGCAGTTGCACGCAGAAGTGCTGCGGATAACCGAACACCACACTCATACACACACACGCATCAGCTTTCAAAAGGCAGCGCACTGTACTTGCGCGCTGGGTGTGTGAGAGTTTGAGAAGAGCAGCTGTGAGTTTCAGTTAAGTGCCTCAAGCAGCCGCCCACTTGTCATTGTGGAGGTTAAATAAGCAATTCGACTTCAAGTTAGCTGAGTCCTTTGCTTGCTGGCAATTTGTTGCATGCATAATCCTTTACTCTTGCAATCAATGCACACAAAGTTCCCGTTAGCTGATTGACCTTAGTTTGTGATGACTTAAAAAGAAGGGAGCAAAGTGTAAGAAATCGTTAACTGCACTCGTATGCAAACATTGTTTCTGCTGAATTTAGTGAAAGTTAAGTTCCCTCTTTAATTAATTGTTCTAAATTTAACTCACTTGTGTTACTACTAACTGAGAAAAGTTTTCTGAGCGCCGTTCACTTGAGTGTTGCCAGAAACGATTCCTTTTAATATGGCTCAAGTACCTCACGACTTCCTGCTTTCGACCAAGTAACCTCTGGGTAGCCAGAAATTTTGCACTGGTTTTGAGATTCGCCAAATAAAAAAACATCTCCAATGAAAGGAAGAAAACAGCCCGCTGTTATAAACTCGACTATAAATGCGTAAGCGGCGTCTATCCAATAAAGCTTTTGTCAGCAATTTTTTGATAAACTTTATGACCTAACCTAATCACAAGTTCATTTGCATTTACCATATAAAGATCTTTTGTTCATAGTTTCGTGTTTCATATATCTTTTCAATCCTTTTTCTCTGTCATCTACCTAAAGGTTAGCTAAAAATTAGCTCAAGGCAAAATATTCCATCTGATCAAATTTGACCCGGACTGGTAATAAACTAAAATCGATAATCATAATTGATAATTGTTTCTTACAGTGAGAAAGTTGAAGAACTTGCACTTGAAAGTCGTCGGGTTGCCATCATACAGATAGGAGAGGATCACAAAATCTGTTATGGATTGACTCAACACATGTTGGTCAAAGATTTGTTTATAATATGTGTCATTGCAAGCCTCGTGCGAATATTTATTGGCATTTTGCAAAACCGACGTCAAATAGAGATCTCAACACCCAGCAGTCATCAAGAATATTTTTACTGGTGACGAGAAGTGAATATATGAATATGACGTTGAAACTGCACGACATTCTAGCGAATGGTGTACCAAAAATGAGCCAAAACTGAAGGCCGTCTCAGCCGCAGCTTATAATATGTGTATGTTGGCATGCTTGTAGTGGTTCAGGAGTCTATTTTGAAGAATTAAGATTTGTATAATATTAAAATACGTGAAATAGTTGTCTAGCAGTCCCAGCAAAATTTGATCAGGTGACACTGAGGGTTGTCCATTACATATTTAGGTAGTTCGAAACTGGCTAATAGTTGTAAGATATGAACCTTCATCGGATTTTTCATAAGAGATTAAATTGCTGATTTTCTTAACCAATCTTAATTTGAATACTTCTTGCTTAGCTGTTAAGGGTCAGTTCTAGTTCTATTTCTGTATTCTCGTAGACAAATTTTGTCTTTGGAAGCCTATATATACATTGATTCAACTTATTTATTCAACTACAGAACTTTCGAACTGTACCTCATTTCGCTCTGTATTTTCAAAGAAACCATAAAATCCTAAAACAATAAAAAATTTCGAGTTCGAAGTATATGAATTCAATTGTATTTTATCTACATTGTCCATTGGCTTATTATCAAGTTATATTGCCGTCGCTGCATTTATTGCAACGCAAGAAATAAAACTTAATGACACGCTGGTGTAATAGCATTTTCCGAGACTGACAAAGTCTCCGACAACAGAGGAGTGCGGCCGGCGCGGACCAGCGTGATAGCCAAAGCGCATTATTTGTAAGCAAAACGATGTTAGATATGCACACAATCGAGCATAGGAGCATAAAAGCACCGATTGTCTGCAACCACACAGGCAACTTAACGATTTGACACACGCCAGCAAAGGAAACTAAGCAAATGTGAAAGAACTCATTAAAAGCGTTCGCAAGTGCGCCGAACTGCCAGACAATGGTGTGTGTGTGTGAGTGTCTTTAATGCTACGCGGTTGCAGTGAAAATGCGTTTGCACTGCTTGTTTTTGTTGCGCACGCCTGCCACATTGCCACAGCCCGTGACACAACGTCGGCGCTCAACCATAAACGTCAACATTAAGTTGCACAACTTCATTTTTCTTCAGTTTTTTTTCACTTTTTGCTCAGCAGACTGCTTCAGCAGCGCAGAAAGTTACTTATACGCACCGGTGGTTGGCATGCGGTTGGTTGCAACGACCGTTTTTTGTTAACGGCGTTGTTGTCGTAGTGATTGTCACCATCGCTGCATCATTGCCGCTGTAATTTGCACACTTTCGATGCGCTTGTGCGTGAAATGTGCGGTGAGCAATGAGTTTTGCAATGAATTTCAGGGCAGCTTCCTGCTGCGCTCAGTTGCATGCTCATATGTATGTATTAGTCTAGACAATCATAGTATAAGTGGGTGCATAGCAGTTTTATTAGCACAAATTATTTCGAAATGACTTTAAAAATATTCTTTCGTACATAACTTTTTTTTTTTTTTGTAATACTTTCCACGTCATTTGTTATGTTTCTTTGAGATTTAAGCATTTTTAATGGGAAATGGGAAAATTGGTGACTCATTGCGAAAAATAACATTATGAAAATTGCATTTGACCTCTATCATCGACAGGAGCTGAGTGCGATCAAATTAACCCAGCTCAAATATTAGAAGAACTCCTATCTACAGTGTGAAATCGGAAGATAAACCCCTCTCACTCCCTATATAACGGTACTGTTAAAAACTACTAAAAGCGCAAATAATCATAACTAAATGCTCCTGAGACATACAATTTTACCTTCGAGATCGTATGCAAGGGCTTTATGAGAGCTGGTGTGACAATTGGTCAATGGGCATGGCATTGCCCACTTTTTGATGAAATCCCAAATCTCGGGACCCGACACACCAATTTCGACTACCTTTAGTACGTGGCATTCTTCAAAATGGGCGGAATAGAAGTGCAACCACGCCTACTTACCATACAACACACTTAAAATTCCACTTAGTCCATTCACTTTCCAGTACACAAATCAAGAAGTAGTTAATATAACGGGATAAAATTTTGCATTAATAGTTAATTCCTATAAAGTATAAAAGCTTAGCACTAAAAATTGTCCAAATCCAGCCAAAACTGTTCAAGCCCCTAAATACCGAATAAATGGACTCAGTACCAATATTAGTAAGAAGCCGTAAAACAATTGAAGACACATTGATGATGACATTAAAATTGTTACTAGATAAAATTGGGTAGATACTACCCCTACTACCCATACTTTTTCGTATTTTAACAAATCTTATGCCGAATATGTTGGTTAGTGTATATAAATAAATATCTTGGATTCTGATCCTACGGTTAAAGTTTTACATCAGTAAGGTATTTCCCTGGCTTTGACTACAAGTATTTCAAGTTTCGCGGCTAAAAAATGTTCGGTTCCACCCAAACTTAGCAATTTATTTTTTGTTTCATCTTACTATAATACTTTTTATTTTTTTTATTTTGCAAAATTATCTTGCTACCTTGAAATAATCAGTCCAGTCGTTTGGGATAATTTTTTTTATTGTCTCTGAACACAAAGTTTCTAGAAAAACGTGTTAAATTTTTGAAATTTTCATAAATGCGCTTAACTTATATTGTATTAAAAAAATATGACCAAAAAAATAATTTTCTAAAAGACGTCATAAGAAACTATCTACATAAAGTGACTGTTTTGAAAGTGTCACGAACTTTTCTAAATTATTTATTTGCAATAACAATGACATGCCAAATTGTCTAAATTTCATTTTGCATGCAAAAAGTTTGCCAGCTCTTATTGTGAGAATGCTCTTATCTGAAAAACTATCGTCATTTGCCTGCAGAAATATATCTGTGTATAGTATATGTAGTCTATGTATGACCTTTGCCATGACTTTAGTGTGCAAATATTAATGCCGCTATTGCAACATTTTACTGTCTGCCAATTTGATTTCATTTCACTTTATTTTATTATATTATTTCATTTTTTTCTTTTTTTTGCCCGACAATTGTTAATAATCATTTTTATTGCTACTTGCTTAGTGCTTCAGAACTTTTTCATTGGCACACTTTTTATGTTTGCACGAGTGAATGTGGCAACTAGTAATTGCCTGCTGCGGAAGCATTGAAGAGTTCATGGTAAATAGTATAGTGGAGAGAAATAAATAAAAGCAGGCGAACAGCGAGTGGGCAAAAATTTCATATTCATATTACTACGATTTTTACGCGATTGTTCAGAATGAAGTATGAGGTAATAGTTGTGCGATATATATTTATTTAAATCTATAKATATATATATTAGGTTGTCAAAAAAGTCTTGCGGTATTTCTTGCGGTATTTTTATTGAATTTTCATTTGTTCATAAAATTTTTTTTCATGTCCAGCTCTTGACCGATGCTGCGGCTGCTACTATGCCGCTCTCTTTCGACCAATTCAGCGATTTTATCGCAAGTTTCGACGACAGGCCTTCCGGAGCGTGGCACATCTTCGACCACCTCTACACCAGAACAAAAACGTTGAAACCATCGTTGTGCGGTGGAAATGGAAACTGTATCGGGTCCATAAATTGCACAAATTTTACTGGCGGCTTGAGATGCATTTTTGCCTTTATCGTAGTAGTACGGTAAAATATGCCGTATTTTCTCTTTATTTTGCTCCATGTTTGCGACGCTATAACTCACAAACGACTTAAAAGAAACGACAATCAATCAAACACGTATTAGCGCGTGAAATGAGCTTTCCAAAAAGTATAGCATGACCCGATGCGACGAATAAAACTAGAACTATGCGCTCTCAGCGCCAACTACCGAAAATACCGCAAGACTTTTTGGACATTCTATATATATTAGGAAGAGACTTCCGAAAAAAATATTCTTATTTTACCCAGAATTATCACCAACAACAACGATAACCTCGAAATCCAATGCAAAAAATTACTCTTGCCAACAGGTGCTAAGACAGACTGAGACGGATTGAAGTCGAAATGAGAAATAAAGTTCTCTCTCGACGGCCAAAGACCAAATTCAATAAGTCACTCATTATGCCCGTCCTGCTATATGGTACAGAGTCATGGAAGATGACAACATCTCTTGTGTATAAATACCGAATAAGTTATGAATACATTTTAGATCCAAGTAACGACAGTAATTATATCTGCTGCCAAAACAATAAGTTTGTCTAGCTTAAAGGAACTTTTTGTCCAAGAACCTGCACCAAGTAACTCCAATCTCATAAATAGTTCGATACATATGGCCTTGGTTCACTATACCCAACACTAATTTTTCCCTCAACACTGTGGTAAACTTAATTTCAAGCACTTATGTATACAAATAAATATATTCCAACATTTTTGCTTCGTTTAGTTAGTAGTGTGTGCGTTGGTGCGTGGCGTATGAGTAACTTTTAATTAGAAGTATCTTTTGCACAAACGTTTATCTCTGCTTTGTATATTGACACTCACTCATTAATTAGAATATGTTTACTACACTCTCTTATACCATATATTTTTGCCTTTTATTTTGTCAGAAAACTTAATGCGTAAACATTCTAATATTCCACAGCTTCGCCGCTTCGCCGCTTGCCTCGCCTCACTCACATAAATGAGTAACAGAATTACCGAAGTAATTGGCAAAACGTAGATAAAACTATCTGCGATTGGTGAATAGTATTGGTGTTTAATAAAATCAGCTTATGGCCGCAATAAAAGTGAAATGCTTCGGAAACCAATTGAGAAAATTGTACAGAAACATCGGCTGCAATGCGTTAGTACTAAAATTTGATAAAGTAAAATATCGTTTGAACTTAAATTAAAGCATTAATGGTTATGGTTTGGAATAAGTAGAGTATTAGATTAAAATTTAAGCGAAGTAAGCCATTTTATATAGATGGCAAGAATGCAGGGTTTCTAAAGTCTGGTTAGGCAAAATTCTTCTAAAATATTTGAAGTATACTTAATACAAGTAGAATAAATTATGATAAATGAATTTATTTGCAGTCAAGTTTTTTAGATCTTCTCATCTGCAGCAACCACTAAGGTAAATTATAACCTCATCAAACAAAACTCACAGAAATAATAATGTGATAAAAATTAAATTATAATAAATTAAACAATAGTTAATTTTTTTTTAAATTTTTCTTTTTAATATGTGCTCAATTTATACATTAACATTTTAACTTAAAGAAACCCTTAGAGAAGTGAATGAAATGTTTGACCACATAGTTCTTCGATAGAAAATATCAATTAATGACTTCATATTAAATTTGTATCTTACTTCACATATGATCACATACAACATATCTAAAAATCAGTCAAGGAGAATTAGGTCACGATAGATATTTTTTGTAGTTTTTAGAAAGAAGTTTGAAGTTCTTTCCTTACACTGGGCGTGGTCTTGCTGACGAATGGTTAAAAGAGGAGCTAATAGCTAATATATTAATTCTTATATGGAGTAAGAGAAAACATTTGACAATATGATATTAAGATAATAGATGCCATGATGATTTTCTACTCAACCACGGTGTTTGCTTTAGCAAAAATGCGATTTCAATGTTCATTATAGTTGTTATCTAAGCATCGCCAAGGACTTAAAGTTGGTATTTTGCTTCAGTGTCAAAGCAGTATGGGAGATTTAACATACAGGATTGTCTAACTTTCTTTTCTTCTTCTTTCTACGAACTCTTAACTGTTTTTTTTAAGGAACGTGCATTCCAAGATTCATCAAGATCACAACTTTTCTCAAGTTACAGCTTGCACGGACGGATAGATGGACATGATGACGGACGGATCCCACTTATTTGTTGGTTCATAACTATCGGGAAAATCCCCTGAACCTATCGGTAATCTGCTTAGGTGTTTTATTTCTATTTCGCCTCGACTTACTCGGACCAGAAGGAGTTATGCCTTCACAGCTGCTTGTAGACGACTAGCGCTTGCTGACTTGATCTGAGGTCCAACAATCCAGTAGTGAGCCCCTAGAAGCCGCAGTTATTAAGACTGAAGTACACTTCCTTACCACCTTAATGGCAGCAATCGTTCGGAAGACGCAGCAATAGTTAGGAAGCCTAAAATTGAAGCTGATTGATAGTTCCCGCAGTGTACTTCTCCACCAATCCCCACCGCCAGCTTTAATCCCGTCATAAATAAGCCTGACAGTAGTCGGATTTAAAAAACTGAATAATCGGTTGTATTGGAGATATACGTTTTAGTATACGATCTGACCTATTCTGAAAAATTATCAGTAAATTTCTTTCAGATTTCAAGCTACAGTCTCTTAGTCAAAGTTGTTCAGATTGATACGTACGCGGAACATTTACCGCGTACGTGATTTTTCCTATTTCTAGATAAGAAAAGTGTTTAATTCCACAGAGATAAGTACGACTGAAGTAAGTCTTAACTAAAATTTTACAAGAGTTCGTTATGCTATCTAGGTTCAATATATTGAAATCATATAATCTTAGCATATATATACAATGTATAGTACATATATTTAAGTATAGTAACAAGGATATGTAAGTGCGTCTGCGTGGGAGGGATTTAATGCCAGATGGTACTTTTAACTCAAAACTTTTGTGGCAGCATCATTTCTTATCACTTCCGCTTTACCGTCGTAATGAGTTCGTGAGCAATTGTATTATCTCAACTCCAGCGCATACGCATACACAAACAAGCGCTTGCTTGAAGAGAGTGCGGAGCTAAAGAACGCAGTTAACTCAAATGCGCTTAAATTTACGAGTTTTAAGCAAGGCATATATCTTATGGGTAAAAGTGGTTGCGTACGTATATACTCGTATATACGTATGTATATTTGTGTGTGTGCATGTATTAATGTATATTTGTTTGCGTTTGCGTTTATGAGCCACTTACCTGTCCTTATACTGACTGACTGGCGGCGAATTGAAGACGGCAATGTTTGGTTTCCCGCTCAGTTGCAAAGTTTTTCGTGCTTTACCCAGCTGATTCTCGGCCACACAAGAATAATTACCAAAGTCCTGAGGATGTACTTTCCGTATAATCAGCGTGTGACGTGAGCCGCGATTCTCCATGATGTGACGTTCGGTGGTGTCCAGTTGCATGGTGTCCTTGAACCAAAGCACCTGTATCAGCGTAACCGTAATATCGACAGCATTTCGGCAGCAGTGTGGCAAGTAGATGCATTTTTCGTGGAAATTTTAAGGGGTCACAGGATATTTTGATTAAAAGAATGTTAAGTAGAGCGTAAATAATATTTCAAGGGAGGGAATTGGATGCGAATATTTGCAGGGAGAAGCGCGTTAATAACAGCGCAGTATAACGGTGTTGCAAGTTTAAGCAAAAGCAAGTAAGGGGTAACAAAGACAAATGGAAACGCGACGGCAAGTGTGACGATTAACGCGGAGTTGAAAGTGGGGGTCATTTTGTTGGTTCGTATTGATGTAGATTCGCATTTTCGAGGGTGTGTGTGTGTGAGCACATGTATCCGGGCCACAATTTAAAGGTGTTAAGTAAATAAATGCAGGAGAGAAAACAATAAACACACGTGCAAGTTTCAACGACGGCGTCGAAAGAGGCAGGTAGTGAGCGCAGTGACGCAGAATGGTGTGGAAGACACGCGCAGCCAACAAAATATTGTTTATGCGTGTGTGTGTTGTTGTTTTTTTTTTTTTTTTTTTTGTTCACAGGAAAAGGGATTGATCAAATTATGGTGATTTCGCCGAAGTACATAAAGTCAGCGCAGAGCGTTACCGAAAGGGCGACGAACGCAAAAGATAAACAATAAGCGATATGAGCACGGCGCAGTTGAAGTTGAGCCGGAAAATATGACAATCGCCAAGCAACCGCAAACATGGCGGCGAAGGCATAACGTGTGTGCCGCGTAAGTGTCCACAAACACATATGGCGGGCATCAAAAGTGGGCGGCGCACAGCAAACAAGTGTCAGAAGTGAGCCGCGTGCGGTGAACGGAGAGTGGTGAGTGGTGGCGCGGATTAACGGTAACCGTAAGTAAGCACATCGCGTTGAGGTGCATCACGTACGCGGCCGTCAAGTGAACGTCAACGGCAATCAACGGCGCGAGCGCGTGTTTGTGTGAGGCGCATGGCGGAAAACATGTGGAACACAGCCGGAAGGAAGCGCACACACACACAGACATACAGACATGACGGCGAGATGAGCAAGCGGGTAGGAGTGCGCAGATTGTCGCACGGATGATGGGTGCACGGAAGTGCGGATGGACAGGTGAGCACACACAGACGCGCGGGTGGGCAGGCAAACCGACAGGCGGACAGACGGCCATGCAGACAAGCAGACGGCGCCCGAAGTTGCGGCGGGATTATGAAAGCAGCAGGTGCGCGAAATGTGGGACAAATAATTGGACGGCGCGCGGCGGCAGTTGGCGGCGCCAAATGTTGCAGATAAACGTTGGATAAATAAACAAAAAACGAAAAATCATATGGGCAAAAATATGAAGGGCAAAAAATATTAAAAAGAAAAAAACAAAAACAACAAAAAATAAAAAATATATGAGTGCGAAATACAGTGGTGGGCGCAAAAATATTTACAGTAGGCGCAAGAAATGTAATAATTTTTTTGTTGTGTGACAAATATGCGGGCAAAGTGGCGGCAGCGTGTGAGTACGTGAGTTGTGCATTTATGTTGTACGTATTGTTGTTGTTAACGGTGTCCCAGTGGCGTGAGCACGTCGTGGCAGGCACGATTACGTTCAAGACGTCGTGGCAGCAGGAATGATGAGCCCAAGGGTTCAAATTCCATTAAAATTGTTGTCAGTGTTGGCGTGTGTGTGTGAGTGTATCAGTGTGAGCACACATACATATGCGCGTTGGTGTGCACGTGTGTCAGTCCACATAGCGCGCATTTTTGACGTCACCCAACAGCATTTTATTTACATATATTTTTTCATCCGTTGTAGTTGTTATTGTTGACATTGTTGTGACGTTTATTCCATTTGCCGAGGCACAGGTGTGCCGCCAACAAAAGCAACAACGTGACGTGCATAAAAAGCATAGCCAAATGTGACACAATCCCGGCGAGATTTGCATTTGTGTCGGATGTGCCGCGTTGGCGGACGACAGTGGCAGCAGCGGTGGCCGCGATGGCCAGGTGGGCAAAAACCCAACACATATACAGATGTGCGAATGATGTGGCGTAACCGCGTGGTCGCATAGGCGAGATAAACACGTTTGTTGACCGTATTCAAGCCGTGGGTCCATACATTCAAGCCATAAATTCACAAGCGTGTTGCAAGCGCATGTGTGTGTGTTTTATTAGCAGCAAAAGTTGCGCGTTGATTTTGATGAAATTATTTTATGCCAAAAATATACAGTTATTGTTTACATTGCCAGCCAGCCAGCAAGCCAGCCGGTATTGGAGTTTGTCGTTGTTGTTTAAAGGTGTTTGTTGTTTAGACCCAAGCCCGCGTTGACATTTTGATAAACGTTGTGGGCGTAATAAAAAAAGCGTGTAGCATGTAAATTTCCAAAAAACGGTATTTTCCCCGGTTTTTCGAATTTGAAATTTTGTTAGTTGATTTTCGTTGTAGTCGCAGCAGGCAGCGGCAATAGTTGTTGTCAGTTGGATTGATTTATATGGTGAAGTTGTCATGAAAAGAGAAACGAAACAAATTTGGTTTTAGTTAGTAAATATTTACAAGCAAAGTACGCAGTATTTTTAGGTTATGTGTGCATGATATTTGCTTACTTAAGTAAACGATATATTTAAAAGTCATAAATACGCCACTGTTTACTTAGCGCATTTAAATATTTATTTATAAACGGCTATTTGAAATGAGCGCAGTATTTTGGTTTCAATATTTTGTATGTAATTGAGAGAAATTCGCTGTGGCGTACTTAAATTTTAAAGCGTTACCCATATTGTTTGCAAACCTGGTGGTATGCGAACATAAAGCAAAGTTTTGCAGACTCATTTATATATTATTTATATGTATATATATATATATATTTTTTTTTTTGTGACTAAAACTTCTAACTCTTTCCATATATAATGCATATGTCAAAAAGTTGTATTGGTCGTCGCCCGTGATTCTCCTCAATGAGCTTAGAATTGGCTGAGCAAAAGACAGAAGTTTTGCTCATAAAAACTAGGAAAGTGGGGGAAAGTATATCTCGCACTATAGGGGAGTGTGTGATTCCCAACTAAAGTGTCTGGGAGGAATAATAGAATCAAGGCTGAAATTTAAGGATCACCTGAAATATACTGCAACTAACCAGCAGGCAATTTCGGTTGTATTATATGCGGCTGCAGACGCTAGGCATTAAAGCATATGTCAATAAACTGAGCATACTGCACATGCTGTCGATACTTAGAGTTATCAGAGCTATCCCAACAATATCAAGTGACGCTGACGATTGATACCCATTGATATCTATGTTGACGAATACAAGTTATAAAAACCGTCTATAGGAGCCAAAAGAGAGTCAAAAGCTTAACAATATGACAGCAGCGGTAGCAAATCTCACTCAAAGGACAGTGGACCCACAAACTGATACCGGACATCCAATCGTGCATCGTCAGACGACATAGAAATCTAGATTTTGCTACCTAACTCAAATACTAATTGGACACTGGTGCTTTAAAAGCTACTTGTAAGGATTCTAGTACAACAAATGAAAACGAACGGCCAGCTTATTGCCGAGTTCATTATCATTCATTGTATGTGAATTGGCGGGAGTCGCGGAGTCTTTGTCGAGTCTAGAGTCTTTGTAGTGGTAGTTTTCATTGCGCCCTTAATTCCCTGAAAGTATCCACCCTATATGAATACACACTTATGTAGAGCCAATAGACAATATGGGTTCGTTGACCTCGGAGTTTCAGATTTGTAGGCCCTGCGCCCAATGTGTTCTCTCTGGTTTAGTTTTTATCTAGGATAAATAAGAGAGTTCGAGAGTAAAATAGTTCTTTCTCTTAAGGAGGAGAAAATGTACTGGGAAGTTTTCGTTCTTCTTGGGAAAAAATGGATTTCTATTTTCTTTTTAAAATTTAAGTCATGATCTTACGTTTAGTTTGCAGAGATTCGAGAGGTCTTTTTACCTATGAACCGGAATAGCCTATTAGGATTCATCCATGAACAGAGAGCGCTCGCGTAGCAGACAACCTTAAAGATATGCTTGATGAGTAAAAGTAATAATTCGTTGATCAAGGTGCCTCAAAGCATGAGATCTGAGGAGCGATTTTTATTCCTATATGTATTAGGTTAGATATTGAGTCTATATGCAGAGTCAAAAATATGTAGGGATCAAACATGAACAATTGACTTTTGGAGAGGCAGTATTTTTATATGCATCTTGTTTCATTATTACATTAACTCAGCTCTGCAGTATTTAGTCGCATGAGAACAACGGATCTCCGCTCCGTGCTCTTCCTTGCAAACTATATTAGTTTTTTTTTTTTGTTTTTTTTTTTTTTTTGTTTTGATTTTTTGTTAAATTATATTCAAAACAGAGAACAGAGCATGAAGTTCCTGGATATACATATGTTTGCAAGAAAAGTTTAGAAACCAGAAAATACAGAATCTCTATCAAAAATGACAAGAAGATCTGAAAATCTTCACCAAAAGAGGTATTGTTTTGAATATGATGAGGGTGCTAATATTCCATAAGAAAATGCCCCCAAATTATAAAGGAGTGAAGTGTGTCTCTAAAGTTTTCCACTCCTCTCTGTTACAAGTGAAAATAAAGACATTCTCATTAGTACCTAGAGAGTGATTGGAGAAGAAATCTAACAAATTTATACAATTAATTCCCAAAGAAGTGCTCAAGTCAATAAAGTTATTTTCTAAAGCATTCAACCAATTCATTGACATAAAGTTGTGCTCATTAATGTGTTGATTGCGAATTGCTAAGGTTTCGAAGAATCAAAAGAACCAAGAGGAAATCAAGAGAAAATCATTTAGGCGTTACCTGCCACTTAAACTTTGCGGTTGAGATTGATTTCTTGCGCCACCTTTCGCTTGAAAGTAGAATACACGATACAAAGCTTACATAAATAAATACTCATATATATATTTTATATAGTATGTATACATTAGAGGGGTTGTTGTTGCTGTTGCACGCTGAATTTTTTCCACGAAGAAATTCATCAA